CTTGGAGGAACAAGAACATGCCCGTTGACCTCCAGTCCGTCCGTCGACATCTCGCCAGTGGGGAATCGCCGCCGCAGCGCGCCCGTGTGGAAAAAGAGAGCAGTCGCGGACGCAAGCTTTCTGTGAAGGAGAGGGTAATGCCGAGGAAACCCACACACATGGATCCACCTGCTCCACACATGTCACCGGGCCCATATACATGTGCTGTTTTGACATATCGGTCTGTACCAAAACTGCTGTCTAGGCCACCGAGTCACGCCGCGGGCCGGGGTACAGGAACGGGTGATGGGCCGAACACAATACGCCTATTGAAGCCTAGCTGTATCACGGACCGTAATTCACCCACTAGGCCTGCCACCCCACAGCAATGAAATGACGGATCTCCAATTCCAAAGCCCATTCAAAGGGACGAGATTGCGGCCTGCCTGTAGCCCGGCCACCAAAAGCCCTCGCCCGGCGGCAGAGGCCTATGTCGGGCGATGGAAAACAGTCCGACGCCCACGCTGTAAATAATGCGCCTTATAGTTGTAGGCTAGGCTGTAGGCTGGTGGACATGCATGCTTGCATGGCTGCTAACAATGCGCTGCATCACAGTCTACTTTTTGCAGGCTAGGCTATAGGCTGGTAGACATGCATGCTTGCACGGGTTACTACTGACTGGCAGAATTGGCATCATATGCTTGCATGCAAAGCATAGAAAAAGGAGCATGCAATGGCACGTATTGGTAAAAAAAAAAATAGGAGCATGCAGTGGCACGTAGTGGTAAAGTAAAAATAGGTAACCATTATCCACAACATGATCTAGGGAAATGCCCAATGATTCCTGGCGGCAAGCATGCATGTGCAGCGTGAGACTGTTTTCTACATCCCGGCATAGGCTTCTGTCGCCGCTGCATGCGGCCACTGTATCAGGGCCAGAAACGCCATGCCCCTTGGGCGTTTGTAGACAAGCTGGAAACGCCAGCGGTCTTGGCGTTTCCAACGTACCATGTCAATGATCGATGTTAGTTCGGCTTGGGCAGCAACGTGAGCTAGCTCGGCGTTTCTATGTGGAGCAGAAACGCTGGCTAGCTCGACGTTTCTATGTGGA